AACCCAGGTCACTCCCATGCCCCCTGCATTGGCAGCACTGAGTCCTACTGGAGCACCAGAGAATTCCCCCAGTTATGATTTTTAAAAATTCTGAGACAGTTGTGTCTTAACTCTTAAGTTTTGTGATTGAAGAAGTTCTCATTAAATTCTTCACATGGGATAGTGGTGTTTTGGCTCTCTTTATGGAAAATAAACCTTTGAGAAATACATCATTAAACATTTATCAATCATATTATAGAATGTATAGATTTAATTCAGAATAATCAGAGAGGAAGGCTTGTAGGGAGAGAAGTGAATAGAAGTTTGGATGAAACAAAATTATTTGTAAGATGATACTGGTTGGGTCTTCCTGTGGTCCAGTGGTTAAGACTCTGTGCTTCCACTTCAGGGGCACAGGTTCAATCTCTGATCAGGGAACTAAGGTCCCACATACCTTGTGGTCAAAAAATAAAATGAATTAAAAAAAAAATTAAAAGATGGTACTGGTTGAAGCAGGGCAGTGGTGAACAGGGGTCATAGTATCATTCATGCTCTCAGTTCAGTTCAGTCACTCAGTCATGTCTGACTCTTTGTGACCCCATGGACTGCAGCACAACAGGCTTCCCTGTCCATCACCAACTCCTGGAGCTTGCTCAAACTCATGTCCATCGAGTCAGTGATGCTATCCAACCATCTCATCCTCTGTCGTTCCCTTCTCTTGCCTTCAGTCTTTCCCAGCATCAGGGTCTTTTCCAGTGAATCAGTTCTTAGCATCAGGTGGCCAAAGTATTGGAGTTTCAGCTCTACACCTTTCATGCATGCTCTACACCTTTGTATATGTTTGAAGTTGTTTATAAAATTTTTTTAAAGTAGTGTTGAAATTTTAAAAAATAGGAGATATAGGTGTAGATAACCAAGTTCTTAAAAAAGCAGGTGGTCTCCAAGAGATATAAGGAGAAAAAGAGGCACCAGAAGACATCTGGAAAAGAGAGCTCTACCTTCAGTAAGACTTTTTCGGGTCATCACAGCCATAGTGTGTGAGAAGGAGGAGTTTAGTGAGTGCCATAAGGTATTTAGGAAATTATACATCTCTTTCCTTGCTGCACTGTTGCATTGTCTCCACTTACTAGAACTATGTCTTATCTCTTAATTCCCCAGGACCTAGCACAGTACCTGGTGTAGCAATAAATGTTGATACTGAAGCTGAATGAATAAATAAATGAATTAAGCAAGTAAGAAACCTTCTACATGTGAAACACATGTTTATATTTTCCAAAGAGAGTGTTTTGTTAAGGACTGAAACTGTCTGGGTTCGTACTTGTGTAATTGATAGCTCTGAAATATTTTTTAAGAAAACTTTCCAGAAAAGAATTCCGAATTGTAGGAGCTCTAGTTGCTTCTGGAAATATTTAAAATTATAATGACTAAACTGATGGATGTAGCAGTCCAAGGTTACTTAAATGTAGGGCCCTTAAAAGAAATTTTGATCCTCACCCTTTGCAATGGAGAGCTTAGGAGGTGAGAATGGATTAGTTCAGATGAGCTTCTGGCTGTATTTATTGAAAAACAGGTGAGAGGTTAGCACAGATGGTTGCATGGTCCTTTATAACCCTAGAGTGTTCATTTCTTTTATTTCCAACAGGTTAGTGGTGATATTCTCCTAATGCTGTACTATTAACAGTTGGTACAATACTGCCACCTATGGGACAACAATAAAATGTGTTACTGTTAACGATGCTTGGATTTTTGTATCATGCTTTTAAAAATATAGAAAACTTATCATCTCGATGAATCTTCTGATGAATTCTTTGGTAGAGTAATAATTTTTGTTCTGTGCATGTGGTATTTTCCTGGCCCAGGGATCAAACCCGTGTCTCCTATATTGGCAAGCGGGTTATTTACCCTGAGCCACCAGGGAAGCTCCGAATTAAAACAGCTTATGGAGCTTGTTTTCTTATTTGAAGTCATATAAGGCCTTGGAATTGAAGATATTGAAAATCATAACATTTTACAATTGGAAGGTACTTAAAACATCCTTCAGATGAGCACACTCAGATGAACCCAGCATAGGATTGAGTGTTGGCTCCAGTGTGGGGTGAAACCATGAGCTGAATCCAGGAAGCCATGGTAGTAAAAAGGGAAAAGCAATGGGCTTTAAAAGACCTCCACCATGAACTTACTCTAAGCCTTAGGGTAAGCCCTTAGATGTCTCTGCATGGTGATTACTTTGTATTGAACAATGGCCTTCAAACTTTCCTGATAGCATACTACTATCAGCTGAAATATCTTTGAGTGTAACACTTTGTATAACTTTAAAAATTACTACAATTTAAATGTATTTTTATGATTAGCTAATATCCCCAGGCTGGTAGCTCAACTGGTAAAGAATTTCCCTGCAGTGCAGGAGACGCCCACTTGATTCCTGGGTCGGGAAGATCCCCTGGAGAAGGGATAGGCTGCCCACTCCAGTCTTCTTGGGCTTCCCTGGTGTCTCAGATGGTGAAGAATCCGCCTGCAATGCGGGAGACCTGGGTTATCCCTGGGTTGGGAAGATTCCCCTGGAGGAGGGCGTGGCAACCCACTGCAGTATCCTTGCCTGGAGAATCCCATGGACAGAGGAGCCTGGCGGGCTGCAGTCCATGGGGTTTCGAAGAGTTGGACATGACTGAGCGACTAAGGACAACGCACCAGGCTCAGTGTATGCTTAGGGCCAAACCAGTGCAGCGGGGTAGTTGACAAGCATAGACTGAGATGAATGGTGGGTTCAGGTCCCAGCTGACTGGCTCTATGGCCCTTTCTCCTATTTCCACAGCAGTGAAATAGGATAATAGTAGTTGCTACCTCATAGGGTTATTGTGAGGATGAAATATTAATATTTTAACTATATATATACATATATAGATAGGACAGTGTCTAGAACATTGAAAGCACTCCAAAAGTGTACTTGCTACTATGTTAATACTTCTACATTTCAAAGGTCTTTGTGATAGTTCCAGACATTTGCCTGATTTCATGTCATTCTCACTAGAAAGTGATTGTTCTTTACTCATTCTGTGCTGAGGAGGGAACATTCCCAGGGTTGAAGTGCTGTTCTACTATTTTCTTACTGTTCTATTGAGTCTGCTTTTCATCCCACTCAATCAGTCATTTCTTCACAGGCACCTTTAAGCCACTTGTCTATTTTATGAGTGCTTTTAAATTAAAAAGTTAAAACTGTGTAATAATTTTGTAATTCATAAATCCATTTAACTAGTCACTTTGGAGACCACTGTTTCTGAAAGCCTGGGGCAGCTATTCATTTCCATGAGTGTATGTTATTAAAGATGTTTAATAGTTACAGGTGATGCAACTTTTTTAAACTTCAAAGTGCTTTTGTAATTGCAATGGAAAAAACTGAACTCTTATCAGGGACTCTTAGAGATTGAGTATCTGACTTGTGAGAAAGCTGGTGTCCACAGGTTTGATTTGTGTTTGTAAGTACCATTAATTTACCATAACTACATTTAATGTATAAGTGGACAAAGGAGCTGAGTGGGCTACTGTCCATGGGGTCACAAGAGCTGGCCACAATTTCGTGGCTAAACCACCACCAAGTTGAAGGGGCTGGGGATGTGCATTTTTTTTTTTTTTTGGAAAATGAACCCTTTTTAAAAAAAGTATAGTTGATTTACAATATTAGTTTCAGGTGTGCAATATAGTGATTCGATATTTTTATAGAATATACTCCATTTGAAGTTATTATAAAACAATGGCTGTATTTCCCTGTGCCATATGATATATCCTTGTTCCTTGTTTATTTTATACATAGTAGTTTGTGTCTTTTAACCCCCTATTCTTGTCTTATCCCTCTCCCCTTCCCTTTCCCACTTTCTAACCACTAGTTTTAGAAGCAGGCTTGGGGCTTGCTCTGGTGGCTCATTGGTAAAGAGTCCGCCTGCCAATGCAGGAGACATGGGTTCAATCCCTGGTCTGGGAAGATCCCACATGCCGTGGAACAACTAAGTCTGGGCACCACAACTATTGAACCTGTGCTCTGGAGCCCATGCTCCACAAGAGAAGCCAGTGCAATGAGAAGCCCGTGCACAACAACTAGAGAGTAGCCCCTGATCACAACTAGAGAAAAACCTGCTTGGAAAATAAAGACCCAGCACAGCCAAAAATAAAAAATAAATGAATAAATACAAATTTTTATAAAGCTTATAAAAGCAAGTTTACATCTGACCTTCTATATGTGTTCCTTCTGCGGCCTCACAATTGTTTTTATTTAATGGAAATTATGAAAACATTAATGGTTCTTATTAACGACTTTTACTTATAACTATATATTTGTGTAAAATACATATTTATATACACATAGCTCTTTACATCAAATCTTTATATAATTATGAACTACTTTATAATAACTTCATTTTTGGTAGAGAAACCTACTTCAGTCTGTTACTTTATCTGCTGAAACCAAAAATACAAGGCACATTGTTTGACATCTGTATGTAGCTGATCTTGAATACGGGCTTCCCTGATAGCTCAATTGGTAAAGAATCTGCCTGCAATGCAGGAGACCCCAGTTCGATTCAGGATCTGCTGGATAAGGGATAGCCTACCCACTGCACTATTCTTGGGCTTCCCTTGTGGCTTAGCTGATGAAGGATCTGCCTACAATGCAGGAGGCCTAGGTTTGATCCCTGGTTTGGGGGACAGCCTACCCACTGCACTATTCTTGGGCTTCCCTTGTGGTTCAGCTGGTAAAAGAATCTGCCTGCAATGCGGGAGACCTAGGTTTGATTCCTCGGTTGGGAAGATCCCCTGGAGATGGGAAGGGCTACCCACTCCTGTTTATTTCCTTGAGGAGTCGATGTAAAAATGATGATTGTTATCTCTTCCTATGGGTTTTTGAAAATAGAATAATGAACTGAGCATATTAACACATACATGCTAGTACTGTATAAGTTATGAAATATCTTTTCAGGATTCAGGAGACTTCATTCTGATAGAGCTTTATAAAATGCTCTTCTTTTTTCTAGGTGGTTGGTACTGGCTATTGCCATGGTACGTTTTTACATGGAAAAAGGAACACACAAAGGTTTATATAAAAGTATTCAGAAGACACTTAAATTTTTCCAGACATTTGCCTTGCTTGAGGTAAGTTTGCGATGATGCTTGTTTTTATATCATATTTATTTGAAAATATGTCTGTTAGAGTAGAATCAGTCTTATTTTGCTTATTACTTACTCCCCATAGATTCACTTAAAACTAGTGGTGGCAGGGATTTATTTTATGCTATTGACATGTGATTTTTTTTATTTGTTTGCTTACAGATAGTCCATTGTTTAATTGGTGAGTTTTTTATTTTAATTTGCTTTTTATGTTCGGCAGAGATTGCATTTGGGGCAGTGGTTGACTTGTTTTTCTTTTTAAGGAATTGTACCTACTTCTGTGCTTGTGGCTGGGGTCCAAGTGAGTTCAAGAATCTTCATGGTGTGGCTCGTTACTCACAGTATAAAACCAGTAAGTGACACTGGTCTACTTGAGTCTACTTGAGCCAGCAGGAAAGCTTTCTTATTAACAGGAACCCAAAATATTAACCTGACTATATTTCAGGAAGCAGAACCCTTGGCCAAAGAAGGGTGGGGTTTGGATGTCAGTGGGATTGTACATTGACTTAGCACATGCGTAGAATGGCTTTGAAATACCTGCAAACCCCCAAATTGGCATTTTTATAGCCATAATATACTCTCCTCTGGAGTTTTTCAGTTTTTAAAATCAGTGTTCCTCTGCTTAATGTTATGTGGCAGCCTGGAGGGGGAGAGGAGTTTCGGAGAGAATGGATACATTTTTATGTATGGCTGAGTCGCTCTACTATGCACCTGAAGCCATCACAGTGCTGTTAATCGGCTATACTCCAGTATAAAATAAAAATTAAAAAAATAAGTAAAATAAAATGAAGTAGAATGTTCCTATTCTGTCACATAGTGAAATGAGAATTTTCTTTTCTGTTGAAGTTGTGTATTGTGTTTGATTATGTAATTGAAGTTGTCAGTATAGACAATTCCTTTTTCCTCATTTAGCATCAAGCATTGTAGCTAGAGACACAGTTAATCTAGCTCTGTAGCACTGAATACTTGGAAAAGACTCAATTAAAAGTTAGGAGGGTTAAGGAACTTAGAGAAAAATAAGCTTGCTACTTATTGAAGCATGACAGGAGAGAGACTTGAGTCCAATTAATGGCTTAAAGCCTTTTAGACAAACAAACACCATGTTTAGCATTTCAAGCCATTGGGCCTTTTAAGCCCGTGACAGAAGCATTTCCCACATGGGCCCTGCTGACCTTCTTGAGAGCCTCTGGAGCCTCCTGTCTACTTGAAGACAGCTCTCTGGCCTCCTCTCCTTCCTCAGATGCCTGACTTGTCCTGTCTGCCTGTGGTGACACATAACCTCCCTTCCACGGCCTGCTGGGCTCATGGCCTCCAGTCTGCATGGGGACAGATTGCTGACCTTCTGCCCTTTACTGCTCTACACTTCAACCCTCTCGACTAGAATCTTTCACTCAGCTGACTCAGTCCACCTGGTCCCTAACCAGTGCCCGCCATATAGATGGCAGTGGACACACATGTATACGTACAAAATCAGGCCCTCATTCAGATTGCCTTGTCATTCAAGAGCAGGAGTCCAACAGATAAATAAAAGAGATCAATCAAATAAAAGAGACGCTGTTCTAGACAGTGCATACTGGTTCTGAGAGGCTGATATTGTCCTGGGATGGTTGAGTTACTAGCTAGAGCAAAAGGGGACAGACAGGACCCAGTAGAAATTCAGCCATTCCTCTGTTAATGGCATGTTTAAATCTGATATTGGTAAAGACCTAGGTAATGGTGACTGCATTGAGTTGTCTGTATTGCATCTTTCTAACCCTAAGTCTCCATTATAACACAAGGCACGTAGTAAATAATGAAAAAAAAAAAAACCTTCATGGAGAAAGAAGTTCAACGAACCTGTGACTTTCTCTGTAATTCCGCAGATCCAGAATGAGGAGAGTGTGGTGCTTTTTCTGGTCGCGTGGACGGTGACAGAGATCACTCGCTACTCCTTCTACACATTCAGTCTTCTCGACCACTTGCCATACTTCATTAAATGGGCCAGGTGGCGATGATGTCTTGCAGTTTCGTTGCTCATGGTGCTGCGCATGCATGTTTTGTGTGCTTAGCTAACACGGAAAATTAAAATGTGTGTCTTAGCCGAGTGTTGCTAGGAGGCTGCCGTTTTGGATATTAGCAGTATATAACTTGCATTCTAAAGGCTTAATTTAATGACTAGGGAACAGTCATATTAACATATATCTTGAGTGAAAGCAGTGCCAGACAAATTATGTTAGTATCCTTAAATAAATTCCTAACTGGTCATTCGTTTTTCCTTGAAAGCAAGATATACATCTATGGAATTATATTAAATCAACTCTTGACCCAAAATACGGCATTTTGTCTGATTGACTAAAATTTTCTTTCTGACAGCTCACAAACTCAATATTCTACAAAACAAAGTTAGGAAAATAAACTAAAACACTAAAAATAAACTATAAAACAGGTGAGCTTTAGAAACAAAATGGATATTAAAGAAATTATTGGAAACATTCTGCACCTAGAAATTTTTTTAATATGACGGACTTTCACTGAGTTAAATACAAAATGTTCTTGTAATTGCTAAAAGTGATCCTTACATCAGTCAGTCATTAACTTAATATTCAGCCTATGTCATATCCACACTTTTAGTATCTTGTATATACAATGTCAGCTTTGTGTGTGTATTAAGTAGCAGATACAGACAGTTTTTAAAAGTCATCCTTATTTGGAATTGTATTATTTGGAAGGAGGACAACATTTATATTTCAAGGGTTCTAAATATAGCTCTCCGAAAGCAACAGTTTTTAAAATAAAAGATATTCTGTCCTTTTTAAAATTTGCATTCTTGAGCAGCTGATATTTTACAGAATTATTATAAAAACAAGACTGCTCTTTGGAGAACAAATCACAAACCAGCATAGATTTGTTCATTTCATTCTCGACATACTTATAATCAGAAATAACAGTAATAATAATAACATACCCAGGTGTGAGGACAGCAAAATCTCTGTCCTGTCCTGATGCAAGAGAAAAAAATAAAATGACTAACAGGTGTGAGAAACGCCGAGTGGGGAGAAATGCAGGTAGGCTGTTAGGGTAAGAGATGTCTGTCCCATATATGGCTATGTACTGAATTGGCCAAAAAGTTCTTTTGGGTTTTTGGCCAACCCAGTAGGTAGGTAGATAGATAGACAATAGATAGATATTAATAGATAGATGAAGCATGTTAGCTGCTTAGTTGTGTCTGACTCTTTGCAACCCCATGAACTGTAGCCCTCCAGTCTCCTCTGTCCATGGAATTCTCCAGGCAATAATACTGGAATGGGTAGCATTTGCTTCTCCAGGGGATCTTCCTGGAGTTCAATCTTCCTCCAGTTCAATCTTCCAGGGATTGAACCCAGGTTTCCTGCATTGCAGGCAGAGCATCTTTACCATCTGAGCCACCAGGAAAGTCCTTAATAGATAGATAGATGGATAGATATCCCACATAGGTAGGATAAAAGAGTTTGATGGTATCTTCAATCTTTAAATTTTTAAAATTTAGCTACGAAAGTAGTATGTTTTCATTATAAAAAACACAAACAGTTTTTAGTCTATATAATAAACATCGAAAGTTCTGTTAGTATTCCTACCTGACTGCCCTGCCCTCCCCCTGGAGAAGGTTGGGAGTTTACCATCCAGACTTTTTCTTATTAACAGTGGGAACACACAGATGTGAGTTTTTGAAAAATAAATGAATGACATGATACTTGATTTTTGTTTATATATTGGAGCTCTTGTTTTCTTTTTTAAATTGGTACAGGTCCATTTAGAGCTTTCTCTCTGTCTCTTAATGCTGCATCATATTCCGTAGGATGAATGACTCAGTTCTTTATTGCCAGAATTTAAATTACTTCTGGTTTTCCAATACTCTAAATACTGCTTTGTGATATCAAAACAATGCTATATCCATATTTCTGTTATTTTTTAAACAAACTCTGGTATTAGTGTATAGCTAATATCAAGGTAATTCATATCTAGTGTCAGACTTGTTTTTGATTACCATATACTAAAAACCTAACACTTTTTCTTAAGAATAAAAACTTAAAATTGTCTATATTCCCCTTATAAAGGATAATCACTGTTAATTATACTATCAATATATATCCTTTCAAACTTTTTAATATTCTCTAGCTCTTTTTTTGTGGCTTACCATTTTGTATATAAAATGAGTGAGTAAAAGAAAGTCGCTCAGTCATGTCTGACTCTGTGACCCCATGGACTTTACAGTCCATGGAATTCTCCAGGCCAGAATACTGGAGTGGGTAACCATTTCCTTCTCCAGGGGATCCTCCCAACCCAGGAATCAAACTGGGGTCTCCTGAACTGCAGGCGGATTCTTTACCAGCTGAGCTACCAGGGAAGCCCTTGTATATAAAATAAGGCTTTAAAACTATAATATGAGCTTAAACATTTTATCTGCTGAAGGTTGCACTACCATTTATAAGCGTTTGGTTGGTTTTATTTTTCTTGTACCAGAAAATTTAATCACTGTAGCAATTGGGCCTTTCACAAGATTAGCGGTTTGGAATGTGGCTGGATGCTAATCCCAGAATGTGACTCACTGCCATTTTGCATGACCTCAGTCTTTCAGACCCTCCAGCACCTTTCATAATACTAATTCAAGATATAGTCTCTTTTTATTTTCTATATTTATAAAATTTGTTTGTGGAAGGTAATCGTCTTTACTATTTTGTCTGCCTTTTAGAATGCATTTGCATGTCTTGAATTTCTGGGAAAGTTCAAAATTCTACCATTGCATGTTTAAATTTGCTGTCAGAAATCCTTTGTCAGTTGCCTTAATGGTAAACAGGTTTCTGTAAAATCTTTCAACTTTGAAATGCATATTTTAGCATAATACATCACGTCAGTTCATCATAGTCATGAATAATTATGTTTCATGTAAAAACTCAGAAAGATCCCAAACACCTATAGATATTTGCCCACCCCATTAAACTAACCTAAAATAGCATTTATATTTATGTTCAAATGTTGAAGCCTTTCTTAAATAAAACTTCACTTTTAAAATGGCTTCTTGTTTATAAAGCATTGCCCTACTATGATGATTTGGATATTTGGATGTGATTTGATTCTATTTATCTGTCAAAAGTGTTCCTAGAAAAGCTCACTGAATAGATAAATGTACATTGTTATGTTTTCACACGAATTTCTTTTTATTTTCAAACATTTTCTGATGACAATTGGGAATCTGTAAGGAAGCATCATATCTTTTTTTTTTTTTTTTTACTTTCTTCCAGACCCTCTGGCTGCTGTCAGAGGAATCTTTTTTAATACAATAACCTCATCACGCTGAACATCCTTCAATGGTTCCCCATTGTTTTCATGCAGAATCTCTTCTGACTCTTCTGTCCATTTTCTTTTTTTATTTTTTTTTATTTTATTTATTTATTTATTTATTTATTTTTTATCACAACCATAGTGTATTTTTTTTTTTTAACATGTATTCCCCATCCCGGTCCCCCCTCCCACCTCCCTCTCCACCCAATCCCTCTGGGTCTTCCCAGTGCACCAGGCCCGAGCACTTGTCTCATGCACCCAACCTGGGCTGGTGATCTGTTTCACCCTAGATAATATACGTGTTTCAATGCTGTTCTCTTGAAACATCCCACCCTCGCCTTCTCCCAGAGTCCACAAGTCTGTTCTATACATAGGAGTCTCTTTTTCTGTTTTGCACATAGGGTTATCGTTACCATCTTCTAAATTCCATATATATGTGTTAGTATACTGTAATGGTCTTTATCTTTCTGGCTTACTTCGCTCTGTATAATGGGCTCCAGTTTCATCCATCTCATTAGAACTGATTCAAATGAATTCTTTTTAATGGCTGAGTCATATTCCATGGTGTATATGTACCACAGCTTCCTCATCCATTCGTCTGCTGATGGGCATCTAGGTTGCTTCCATGTCCTGGCTATTATAAACAGTGCTGCGATGAACATTGGGGTACACGTGTCTCTTTCAGATCTGGTTTCCTCGGTGTGTATGCCCAGAAGTGGGATTGCTGGGTCATATGGCAGTTCTATTTCCAGCTTTTTAAGAAATCTCCACACTGTTTTCCATAGTGGCTGTACTAATTTGCATTCCCACCAACAGTGTAAGAGGGTTCCCTTTTCTCCACACCCTCTCCAGCATTTACTGCTTGTAGACTTTTGGATAGCAGCCATCCTGACTGGTGTGTAATGGTACCTCATTGTGGTTTTGATTTGCATTTCTCTGATAATGAGTGATGTTGAGCATCTTTTCATGTGTTTGTTAGCCATCTGTATGTCTTCCTTGGAGAAATGTCTGTTTAGTTCTTTGGCCCATTTTTTGATTGGGTCATTTATTTTTCTGGAGTTGAGCTGGAGGAGTTGCTTGTATATTTTTGAGATTAATCCTTTGTCTGTTGCTTCGTTTGCTATTATTTTCTCCCAATCTGAGGGCTGTCTTTTCACCTTGCTTATAGTTTCCTTTGCTGTGCAAAAGCTTTTAAGTTTCATTAGGTCCCATTTGTTTATTTTTGCTTTTATTTCTAAAATTCTGGGATGTGGGTCATAGAGGATCCTGCTGTGATTTATGTCGGAGAGTGTTTTGCCTATGTTCTCCTCTAGGAGTTTTATAGTTTCTGGTCTTACATTTAGATCTTTAATCCATCTTGAGTTTATTTTTGTGTATGGTGTTAGAAAGTGTTCTAGTTTCATTCTTTTACAGGTGGTTGACCAGTTTTCCCAGCACCACTTGTTAAAGAGGTTGTCTTTTTTCCATTGTATATCCTTGCCTCCTTTGTCAAAGATAAGGTGACCATAGGTTCGTGGATTTATCTCTGGGCTTTCTATTCTGTTCCATTGATCTATATTTCTGTCTTTGTGCCAGTACCATACTGTCTTGATGACTGTGGCTTTGTAGTATAGTCTGAAGTCAGGCAGATTGATTCCTCCAGTTCCATTCTTCTTTCTCAGGATTACTTTGGCTATTCGAGGTTTTTTGTATTTCCATACAAATTGTGAAATTATTCGTTCTAGTTCTGTGAAAAATACCGTTGGTAGTTTGATAGGGATTGCATTGAATCTGTAGATGGAAGCATCATATCTTTTTTGGAATTAGTTACATCACTCATGCTGCTGTCAGAACTTAGAGAATTGGTGCCGTACAGCCTTTTTAAAGTGCAAATAAAGTCAAATAAATTATGTAATTTCTCCTTATTTCATTGAAAATAATTACTGTTTTTATGACTTTAACTTACTTTATTCTGAGTTATTTTTTTTTCAATTAAAGAACAGTCCTACCCAAAAAACGTCATCTGAGAGCCACATAAAGTTAAGAAAACACTGAAGTTTGAGTGTCTTAATTGAGAAAGGAATATAAAATGTTCAGTTATGTGCTTTTAAATTGAGATAGGAAAAGATTGATTTAAGGGATATACACAGAACAACACAAGGCTGCTGAGAGAGGTGCCACGCACAAGGCAAGGACAGGGCATGGGGGGACCATTGAAGAAGCATTCTTCTTTCTTTACCAGTTCATCTATTTTGGCAAATAATTCTCCTCTCCTCCTCTGTCATCTCTTGTCTTTGCATACATATCCTTGGCACATAGAAGTAAGGTGACTTTTAAGTTGTCTTCAAGCTCCTGCCGTATTCACACATTTGACTTCTCTTTACAAATATGTCTTAATCCCAACAAAATGATTAAAATCCAGATCAATTTGCTTGCTTTCTTTTTTCACCAAAATTTTGACCTTAACTTCTGTGGTAACTATTATAGAGCAACTGACTTAGAGAAAACTGATTTTTTTTTTGATGGAGAAATGTTATTACCTGGGGTGCTTGAGGCTGTCCTGTTGGTCCACCAGTAGAGACTTCACAAGGTACCTCTAACTGTAGGCAGAAGTGATGCCAGGCACTTGTGGGCCCAGTGTATGTGAGAGGACGACCTGCAATTCAAATGAAGAAACTGTGATTTGGATTTTGACTAGAACTTTCTCAGCTCCATTTTAAGCAAGCTAACTATTCCTTTAATATGCAGATTCAGGAAATGACCTATCTTCCTTGTTTTATCATAAAAGCAATTTTAGACAATATGTTGGTTAGCAGTTATTGATGATGCTTCAGATGGTTTTTATCAGTTTTCTAAAATAGGAGTTCCTTTTAATTAATAACCACATAGGGTTTTCCGAATGCCTCCAAACAACTATTTTGGCAGTTTCAAAATTTAGATCTAAAATTAGGATCATAACTGGCCTTTTAAAAACATAGCATTGGATCAACAAATGACTAGCTGCAGGGAAAAAAAATCAGTCAGTATGATTTTAGGTGTCCAAGCAGTTACTTTTACAATATCTTACAATGCTTATATTTACTTTACAATAGACTGTAATAAATACTTGTATTGTTTATCATACTTAAAAAACTGCATCAATCAATCATTGACTTTCAAGTGTATAGTTATTTCAGTCGTATAAAGTAAGTTGACTTCTTACTTTATTAAGATCTTGCTGTTTAAAATGGGAACTGCTAGAAGAAAAAAAGTGACAATAATTAAATTACTAAGCAAATGATTAAAGTAGAAAAAATTAACCTTTTATATGAGGTTAATATAAGTATATAGGAAGGAGAATTTTTAAGCTTAAATAAAGTAGTAGCAAAAGAATTATAGAGCCCAGTAATTATTCTAGAAAAATAATTCTCAAATTTTTCTTTCTCCAGATATAATTTTTTTATCATCTTATATCCTGTTGGAGTTGCTGGTGAACTTCTTACAATATATGCTGCCTTACCATATGTGAAGAAAACAGGAATGTTCTCCATAAGACTTCCCAATAAATACAATGTCTCTTTTGACTACTATTATTTTCTTCTTATAACCATGGCCTCATATATACCATGTAAGTATATATCTGTTAGCACTCCGATGTAGCATATGCTGTGAAAGTGCTTCAAAAGATGTCAGAAGATTGACATATATATACCATGATGTATGAATTAGGTAACTACCCAGAATCTACCATGCAGCACAAGGAACTCTACTGTGCTCTGTAGTGACCTAAAGGGGAAGGAAATCCAAAAAAAGAGGGGATATATGTGTACATAGAGCTGATTCACTTTGCTATACAGTAGCAACAAGCACAATATTGTAAAGTAACTTCACTCAAATAAAATTTTTTTAAAAGGGAGAAATAATGTCTTAGAAATATATTAAAACCTCTGTTCAGTCCCATAATTTGAAATAATTGAAAGGCAGATTGTGAGGAAAAAAGTAAATTAACACACAATGACTGCCTTCGCAAAATCATTTAAAAATAAGCTTAGTATGATATGTTTTTAAAGAAAAGATAAGCCCACAGTGAACTCTTTGAAAGCATTTAGAATTATGCATCTGAACAGAAATATTTTATCCAAGGAGATCTGAGATCATTTCTATTCATTAAGCACATACTTAGAAAAAGTGTCCCAAAGTACTTTTTAGTCTTATGTGTGTTTTCCTATGTACTAGAAAATAATGAATAAGCTACTTTTTTAAAGTATTTCTAATAACTCAGTTTTTCCACTAATTTCTTCTCATCTTTCAATAGTTGCAATGAATTGATGAGACTCTATTCATTTCATTTAAATACAGAGTGGTATATTTTTATGTCAGATTTTGATAATCATTAGCAGGAAATATGAAGATACAGCAAGACTGTTGTTTGCCCTTGTCAGTAAAATTAGAGACTCTGAGGTCAGTGCAGGAGAAAAAAAGAAATGAGAAACATTTATGGAATCTAAAATCAGCATTGACACAGTATGAAATACTTCATTTAGAGAGGATGAATATAAAATTTGGCCACTTCTTCAGGGCCTCCAACTTTTAAGTTTTTCTGAATTAAAAATTGACTTGATGGTCATATAGTATTTTTAGTTTAATTTTTTTAATTTTTTAAATTATTTGGACTATAATTCTTTTACAAGTTGATGTTCATTTCTGCTATATAAGGCTGTGAATCAGCCAGAAGTGATACATTTATAACCCCTCTTCTGGAGCCTCCCTCCCAGCCCCCAACCATCCCATCCATTTAGGTCAGCACAGAGCTCCCTGTGCTGCATAGCAGCTAGCTATCTGATTTACAGATGGTGGTGTATATATGTCAGTGCTACTCTCTCTATTTGTCTCCCTTCTCCCTCCTCCCCTGTGACCCCAGTGACCCCCGTGTTCACTGCAGCACTATATACCATAGCCAGGACGTGGAAGCAGCCTGGATGTCCATTGCCAAATGAATGGATAAAGCAGACGTGGTACATAAATACAATGGAATATTACTCAGCCATTTAAAGGAACAAAATTGGGTCATTTGTAGTGATGTGGAGGAACCTAGAGCTTGTGATACAGAGCGAAGTAAGTCAGAAGGAGAAAACCAAATATTGTATATTAATGCATATATGTAGAATCAGTGGTACCAATGAACCTATTTGTGGGGCAGGGATAGAGAGAGATGCAGACACAGAGAACGGACTTGTTGTATAATGTTTTTACTCCCTGGTCTTCTCTCTTCTCAGTCTGACTCTCCTCTTTTTCTCCACCAGAACCAGTTCAGGGGGACTCAGGGATGCTAAGCCTACAATACTTGTTCCTTCCCCTGATTTTCCCAGCATCTAGTGAATAGCAGCACACCTGGAGCAAAGCCACACTTGTCCCCTGATACTTACAGGTCCAGGTCTTGAGTTCCCTTTTTCTTCACAGTCACTGAGGCATCTCTGTGAAAACCCAGGGTCCAAGAGATCATGGTTGGAAACCATGAAACCAGTAACTTGTAAGAGCGCGTTTTCAGGTGTCCCGTGAAGACTGGGCTTTGCCAGTAGCAGCTTCTCAGGTTATCAGGCTGTCCCCCTCCTGCTGGAGGATCAGCAGTCAGTAGGGGATGTTTTTTACCTGATGATTAGTATTAGTTTTGATGTTGTTTAGTCGCTAAGTAATGTCTGACTCTTTTAAATGCTTTGCCAGTTACAAGTATAAAAGTATATTTTGAGTGCTTATCTTAGCACTCAAAACAAGTCTGATCTAATCAGGATGTTATAGACCTATTTTCAAAACTTGGTCAGTTAGCTTTACGTCTACATTGCCTGAATATATTTAGCCTCTTAGATATAATATGATGGTTACATTTATGAAGGTGGATAGTACCTACTTAAATAAAAAGTAAAATCTTTCATGCATTTTGGCTCCATTTGAGCTAAATTCTATAAGTACTTATCCATAGTTCCCCGAGCAAAATATTCAGAGCTTGTTTTGTCATTAGATTCATTCATTTTGGTTATTCTGTTCATCATTTTCAGATATATTTTTATACTTGTATTATTTATAGCTGATGTTAATTTGCTCATCCATTAGCATTTACCCTATAATTTACAGTACTGGTTCAAATTGACTCAAAATAATTCTCCAAATTCGACAGGGTGGATAACCATTTGTTTAACTGACCTAATACATGTGCATTTGTGTATTTGTAGATAACAGACCACCCTTACGCCCAACCAGTAGGGGTTTTTGCTCTGGGCCCACACTGATCACTCTTCCACGCTGGACCCCTTTCCTTCAGCTCACATTCTAGAAAGCTGGGACCATGGAATTTGCTCCCTAGATGGCACTGGCCATGCATCCAGGGACTGCCTGGCTCTCTTCCCCAGTCTGTTCTCCTGAGGATTAACTGCGTCACCTGTGTGCACATCCCTGAGACTGAGGGGAAGCTATTTGGGAGGCGGATGGATGCAGCTAGGTTGCGTGGAGTTGGACATCCACACAGATGTTCCTGAAACCCCTCATGACATGGGACAGCTGATAGAACACAGAGAAGGGGCCCAGTCTTTTTGTGCCGCACTGTTCTGGCACAGTATTCCTAAAAGTTATAGAGATCTTCTTTTTTCTTAATTGGAGTTCGTTGCTTTACAGTGTTGTGTTTCTGTTGATCAGCAAGGTGAATCAGCTATACATATGCACATATCCCCTCTTTGTCACCACAGAGCATTGAGGAGAGTTCCTTGTGCTATACAGTTGGTTCTCATTAATTACCTGTTTTATACAGAGTAGGGTATACATGTCCCTCCCAGTCTCCCGATTCATCCCACACCCGCTTCCCCCCGGCTTGGTGTCCATGTTTGTTCTCTCTGTCTGTGTCTCAGTTTCTACTTTGCAAATAGGTTCACTTGCACCATTTTTCTAGATTGCACATATATGTGTTAATGCATGATATTTATTTTTCTCTTTCTGAATTACTTCCCCCTGTATGACAGTCTCTAGGTCCATCCAGAGTTATAGAGTTCTCAATTCAAACATGGCCTTCCAGGTCATTATAAAGATATATTTAAGAAAATATTTAAGTTTGCTAAAAAAAACTGACAGTTTATGGCATTAAAACATTTAGGCATATGGTATAGGAGCCTCCATTTGTACCCTTACTCTGAGCCCTGTAACGATTAGGGCAGTAGCCATGGTGCATGACGGGCTTGCTCTCAAAGATCACCATGTTTGAGAGGCTGTAAGTATAAAGCATTTCCAACAAAAGCTTACCTTCTTGTTTTCTTTTCTCCATTAAGTGTTTCCACAACTCTACTTTCATATGTTACGTCAGAGAAGAAAGGTGCTTCATGGAGAGGTGATTGTCGAAAAGGATGATTAAATGATCCCCAGAACAAGGTGCTTTTTCCAGAATAACCAGGATTACTTGAGTCCAAGTTTTAATAACAAGAATAAACAACTTGATAAATATTGCGGGTTGTATTATTTCTTAAACTATAACTTGGGGCACGTTGTATTTGCCAATATTTGTCTTCAAATTGTGCTGCTCCATTTGCTACAAGAACTATGCAAGTATTTAATATAAACTCCTGGGTAGGTGATGATCATCAAAAAAAATAATTGGGTATATTACCTGGGGTGGGGTGGGGGAAAAGCTTCAGTAGTTTTTAAGTTTCACTAAGTAATTTTTGCTACATAGGTTCAAAGCTTTTTAAATCAATATTTAAAAATTAGTTTAATGATTTAAAGTTATGATGCCTGCCAGTGATATTTGTGTGATATTTATAAATGAAACTAAATACAGAATTATAATAACTTGTTAATAATGTATTGGCATTTCTTGAACCCAGGGTCTATTTCTCTGAAGTATAACAGGTAACATTTTTGATTAATAACAGTTTTTGGAAATGTGGGCATAATTTGCTAGCATAAATCTTTTGATTTAGATAAAGTAGCCATATAAAAGTCAAAAATATTCAAGAAAATGTCACAGTTGGAAAATAGTCTTTAGAAATGTGTTTAGGCCATTGAAATTACTGCTAAGCACATTTATTTTCATTTGAATTGACTACCCAAGGTCAACCTTTCCAACTGTAAGGATTTTAACAGATTAGAAAGTACATAAGTGTATACCTAGTTTCACTTGTAAAAAGGAAAATGAGACTATTGAGTTTGATGGTCACACGGGGTCTGTTACATTGAGAACTCTGGCTGAAAAAGGCTGCTCTACACTGTGGGATCATCTAATAAAATTCATCTTGTGATACACCTTTGTAGTACTTAGGTAACAGAAATTTTAGGATATGATCTTAAATAGACTTATTTTATTCTGAATTTTGTTGACCAGTAAAAAGTCTTATAATAAAGCTTCTGTTCACATGTTTAATAGAAAGATACACTGAAGATAATCTAATCATGCTTTTATTCTTAAGTATATCCTTTAAAATTTTCCCCTCTAATTTTAAGATATATTGCTTTCCTGACCTGTTTTAAAGAGAATTTTAAATATGTGACTTTAAAAGAAAAGGAATTTTTTGCTTGCTATAGATGTGTAGGTATAATTTTGGCTTTAATTGTTCTGTATTGTTTCCATTTACAGTCCACATGTAACTTTTCACTTTTCAGAATTGCTTGTTTTGTGTTATCACTTCCTCTTCAAATGATTTCATCTGGAAATTTGTAGTTCAGAATAGTTTTGCAGACTTACATCTTAGATAACTTGATTTTTTAAAGGTGCTATTTCTTTTATTACATTTTAATATTTTCTCTGTAATATTAGGTTACTAATTTTCAAAAATGCTGACGTTCATTCTGTATTTATTTGACTTTGATTGTTTTTATCTTGAATTTTTATATAGAAGAAATTTTCAGGGACTTTTCCCCTTTGGTAACATAGTACAAGAAGTTCACATGTTTATCCTATTAGATGCCTGTCTTATGAAAAGTATTTTCAGTCTTCTTCCTAAAATTTGCATTAATTCGCCTTGTACGCCTAACCAGCAGATTTAATACTCTTTTTTTCCCTTTAAGTGATGGAATATCTTGAAGTAGAAATTGTGATCAACTTTAATAAAAATGCAATACATCAGACTATTCAGAGACCATGTTAATATGCTCAAAGTATGCCTAAACTTTAGATTTAGTTTATCCTTGGGAACTTTTATTTCAGCTAATTCTCAGCCATCTTTTGTGTAGAAAATAAAGTGTTTAAATGGTAATTTGATTGCAACAAGGAGAAATATTTGAAAGTCCTTTGCACTTGTCTCCTGTGATAGAATCTTTGGAAAATCTCCCAAAGCCACTAAAACGTTCCTTTGAGTATGCACATCAGGCTTGAATCAAATAGATTTTGAATTCAGTCCTGAAGATTTTGGATTTGACAAACCATGTACCAAGAAATTTTGATGCTAGCAACTTCCAATGGGATTTGACATTCCTTACAATTCTAGTTTTAAATTTTTCATAGCTTTATAGTTTATCACACAATAATAGATACAATATGCATTTAAAAATTTTTCCACAGTCTTTTTTTTTTTTTTTAACATTTCATGGTTTTCAATTTGTTATTTTTGTTGTTGTTGTTCTTTGGCTATACTATGTGGCACGTGGGATCTTAGTTCCCCAACCAGGGATCGAACCTGCGTCCCCTGTAGTGGAAGCACAGATTCCACACAGATTCTTAACCATTGGACTGCCAGGGAAGTACCTCAGTTTGATATTAATAAAGCAGTTTCCCTAATAGTTATAACTTAATGAAAAATGCCAAAATAAATATTAAATAGTTAATGTTAAAAAGTCACTTTTCACCGAAGGTTTTTGTTCTTTGACATCTGTAGAGTCTCAGAAACGTTACATCTTCAGATTATTAAGCATCTAATTATTATGCCACTATCTCATGGTTTCTGGTGATATATTACAAAAGTGATATAAGATTGTGCAATAATCCCTTCCCCTCCTCTCTGCCCCTAAGAATATTTGTGCGCATTGTTTGCCAAGGACTGTTTTAGGGAATTAACATCTTCCTCCTAGCGTACATCTGTCTATCCAACATACATAGTGAACTTCTGACATAATTACTAGGTCAGATTGGTTAGAAAATCACAGTGTGAAATGATTACCTCTGCTTTAACAAAGTTGAGTGCATCGGTAGCCTGATGTGGCAGCTTATTGACTTTTTAAAAAACTTTTTATGTATGTTAAAGTATAGCTGATTAACTAGGTTGTGATAGTTTCAGGTGGACAGCAGAGGGACTCAGCCATGCATATATATGTATCCTTTCTCCCCATCCAGATGTGGCAAGGTTCTCACCTGTATAAGTGTATCAGACTGCCATTAAATAGGTAATATTCTGGTTTAAATTTATTTTCAAACCCTTACAGATATGCAACTGTTAAATCATCAAGGTGCAACACTGAAGGAATAACTGTAAGAAGCAAGATTTAAATGAATGTGTAAAATGTAGACATATTTTCCATCAATATACACATAGATCTGGAATATACACATATATATGATAAAAAGAACAACATAGTTTTGTAATTTCCAATATGAAGGCATGAAATGAAATTGAAAATTCAGTTTGTTTAGTCTAAATTTATGAAGCAGATAGACATTTGTTGTTCCTCTAGACTGAAAGCTTAAAAATATGTTCTTAAAATTTTGTATTTTTTTCTAGTGTTCCTTTTCCAGCTTTTAAAAAACGGTTCACTTTTTGTTTTGAAAGAATTTCAAACTTACAAGAAAGTTGCAAGAATGCTAGTCTTCACTTGAATCCCTACTTGTTAACATTTTGTGATTTTGCTGTAACATTCTATCTATTTGAAATATTTTGTGAACCATTTCTTCAGTGTATGATCTTAAGAACCAGGGCATTTTCTTAAACAGCCACAATACGATGACCCAAATGAGGAAATTAAAACTGACAGACTATCTAAACTATGAAGTGAAAGTGAAGTCGTTTTAGTTGTGTCTGACTCTTTGCATCCCCATGGAGCCTGCTAGGCTCCTCTGTCCATGGGGTTCTCCAGGCAAGAATACTGGAGTGAGTTGCCATTTCCTTCTCCAGGGGTTCTTCCCAACCCAGGGATTGAACCTGGGTCTCTTGCACTGCAGGCGAATTCTTGTCCGTCAGAGCCACCGGGGAAGTCCTTCAAATACCAAGAGGGAAGTTCTGATAATATGTTCTGGGTCAAGAGCCCATCCAGGCTCAGGCACTATTTTAGTTGTCATCTCTTCTTGTCTGGAATGATTCCTTGGTTTTTCTTCATTTCATGGTTTTAACATTTTCATCAGTACAGGATAATTGTTTTGGAGAAAGTCTCTTAGTTTGGGTTTGTTTGATATTTTCTCATGACTAGCTTTAATTTATGCACTCTTCCACAGGAATATTGAGTTGTCCCATTTACTGGTGATACTAACTTGATGTTTTAGGTGATTTGTTTTTTCATATTTTGGTTGCAGAGTAACACATAGGTCTTTTCGGTCTAATTCACTGGAGTTTGGCTTTGAAATGTGGCATTGGGATTTTTTTTTTAACCTAATTAATATGCCTTGGTATGATACATGAATATTGATGTCTTTTTAAGGGATTAAAAAGTGCTAAATGATTTTTACACATGGAATTTCCAGGTGTTTTATTAATTCAATCTTTATGTTGATTTTTTAGCCCCTAGACTGCAAAACTCTGTGATTAATTAATATACTTTGGTTTTGCTTACAAGTTATTAACTACAGTTTCTGTTCTACTTTACTGTATACTCTCACCATGATATTATGCTTTACCAAAATGATACATAATGCAAGGTTAAGAGTGCTCTGAAAATACATTTTAGGGTCTTCCTTGGAGGTATAGTGGTTAAGATTCCAAGCTTCCACTGCCAGGGGCACGGGTTCAATCCCTGATTGGGGAACTAAGATCCTGCATGCCATGCAGTGATACTAAAACATTAAAAAAATTTTTTTAATACATTTTATTTCTTGATTTAGGGTACTGCCTTCCCCCTATATTTTAAAATGTCATTTGTGCAACTTGAAAATTAAATCCACTTTAAATCCACTTAACATTTTGTGGATTTTACTTTTAGGATCAGGACTATAGAAAAAAAGGATTTTGACCACAGCTTCTTTAAGAGTGATCCTAGGACCCCAGACCCCCTCCTTTAGAGATTCTGCATCAGTGGCTTGGTAACTGAGAAATCTGCATTTTTTGCAAGGTCCTGGGCAGTTTGATATAGGCAGTTTAGAAGTTCCACTATCTGTTTGAGAGACACTGCCTTAGAGAAATACCAGGGGACCAAGAAAGGTGACTTCTTACAAGTGCCGTATTTCATGTACTTACGTAACTGAAAAAAATCAGCATTGCTATGTTGTTCTGTTGTCTC